GCGATAGTGGAGAGGCCCTGGGCTTCCTTCCGCTCTCCTCCTCCTCCTCCCCACTTCTCAGCAGGAGGCCCCTCCTCCCAGCCCGGGGTCGCTAGGTGAGGGGCGGCGGGGAGGCTGCTCAGCACCCAGCCCCCCATGGCAAGAGGCTGCCTTTACTAAGGGGCCTGCAGGGTCGCAGGGGAGCTGCCAGGGACAGTCAGTTGGAAGCCATGGCCGCATGGCCCGAGGGTGGTGCCCAGCAAGGGCCAGAGGATTCCCTCCCGCCAGGCAGGGCCAGCCTCGGCCCCAGCTCTCCTTAGGGATCAGCCTGGAGGCCAGAGGCCAGTGATGAGGCCCTGCTCTGGCTGCCCCAGAATGCTGGGGGATTACGAAGGGGTCCCTGAGCCAACCCGTCATCCACAGCCCAGGGACAGCACTGCCCACACAGGAGCCCCCACTTTCCCACAGCCACAGAAACCAGGGGGTCCCCAAGGACAGGTGATGGCTGCACAGGAAGCAGGCGCCAATCTCCCCAGCACACACCGGGTGCTGGGGTCGTGCTGGGGAGCCAGGCTGGATCCAGAGGTCTGTGCTGCGGTCTGAGGAGTATGATGGGGCACTCAGGAGGAAGCCAAGACAACCGGCAGCATCTGTTTATTGGGTAATTGCAGGTTCTCTCCCCCGAAGTACACCTGTTGCTTTATTTGGGGTTTTGTACATTCCAGCCAGTTAGGGGACATAGGAAGGATGCTCAGCGAAAGGCAGATGTATTGGGAGAAATGTGCTATAAACCGTTTTTTTCTTTTTTGAGTAAAGGAAAAAACACTTTATATAATCAGTATCCCACTCCTGAGCACAAGTGGGACAGGAAAACTTGTTTGCTCTTCATCCGCACTTACGTCTATCCTCTCATTTCATATGTACAGTTTATTTGGGTGCTGCTACTGGGAAAGGTGAAACCAAGTATCAGGAAGGAAGAAGTATTAACAAAAAGAAGCTCAAAAAGATGGCTTGGGCAGGGCGGTGGTCAGTAGAAGCAGACGGTGTGCAGGAAAAAGATGGCTCTGGAAGGGCAGTGGTCAGTAGAAGCAGACGGTGTGCAGGAAGGTCCGGCCGCTCTTCTCCTCGAACTCTTGCAGCAGCTCCTCGATCTCGTTCTCCATGTCCTCAGTGTGCTGGATCTGGGAAGGACAGGGGAGCCGCCCTGAGCCTCCCGCCCGCCCAGCCAACTGCCCAGCCTGCCCTGGTGCCGACCTGGTGCCCCAGACTCATCCCACCCACCCGGGCGGGGTCCCGAGCGCAGGTTCCCTGGCAGCCCCAGGCCCAGCAGGGAAGGGGCACAGCGGCTGCAGACAGGGAGCCGGCCCTTGGACATCACACCGCCTCTCTGTGTCCCCTGTGCAAACGAGCAACCCCACACAGTCACCTGCCCGTGCCGCCCATGCCCTGCGCTGGGGCCATCCTTGTGCTGCAGGTGCTGACAGGGTGCCCCCCCCTAGTGTTTCTGCAGCTGTGAGACCCACGGTGCGTGCAGACACAGTTACACACCCCCTGGTGGAGAACCACCGCTCCAAGAGGAGGTGGCGCTGCCAGGGAAGGGACTGACTCCTCAGCACACCTGTCCTGGCCTGGAGGGGCTGGCCTGCAGCCCCCAGTCTCGGCCTGCAAGCAGGGCCTCTGCTCCACCAGCTCTCACTAGCGCGACCTGAGTGCCTGTCACGTGTGCAATTCCCAGGACTCATCTTCCCCTTCAGCCCTTTCTCTTGCCCGATAGCCAAATCTTGGGCACAACTGCTGGTGCTTCAGCAGCCACCCTGGACCATGAGACACCTCGGGAACAGAAGCTGCGCTGGGCGGAGTACCGAGAGTGTGGGCCCTGGGCCCTTCGCACAGCAGACCCGCTCGGGCCTGCCCGCCTTTAGGCATCCTGCTTGAGATACTAGTTCTCTTCATTTTCTGACCACTCACTGCCAGGTGGCCTGAGCACAGATCCCGTGGGCAGAAGGTAGGACAAGGTCTGTGAGTTTCTCCTTGAGTGGGTCCTTTGTCACCTCTAAGAGGAAACGCTTGGCTCTGGGCACAGCTGAACCGTGGCTGCAAA